TATGAAATCAAAAGGTCAAGTAAGACGACCGAAGACCCAAGGAAAGATTTTTGCTATGACTCAGTAGGCGATAGAAGAGTCACCAGATGTAATCATGGGTATGTTGTCTATTTTTGATAGAGATGCTAGTATTTTGATTGATCCTGGATATACACATTCTTTTATTTAATTTGCATTTACTTTATATGCAAATCAAAAACCAAAACCTATATTCAATTGTTTGGTAGTAAGTACGCTAGTAGGTGAATCATTATTAGCAGACAATATATGCTGAATTGTGGGATTAAGGTAAAGGAGCACGAGCTGAAGGCAAATTTGATACCTTTTGATATACATGATTTCGATGTTATTTTGGGTATGGACTTTCTAGCTACAAATCAAGCTTCAGTTGATTGCTTTCAAAAGGAGATTGTATTTAGACAGTCAGGATAGCCTGAAGTTATATTCAATGGTCAACTTATAATTTTACCAACTTGTATGATATCTGGTATTAATGCTAAAGATTACTCTATAAATGCTGTCATGCATATTTGGCTCATGTGATTGATACAGATGTTAGCAAACTAAAACTCGAAAACATTCCGGTAGTTAAAAACTTTCCTAATGTATTTTCAGAAGAACTACAAGGTTTACCATCAAAAAGAGATATCAAGTTCACTATAGATCTGATTCCAGGAACTGCACCTATTTTGCGGGCACCATATAGAATGGCTCTAGTAGAATTAAAAGAGCTAAAGGTTCAGCTGCAAGAGTTGGTAGACAAGGGCTTCATCAGACCTACTGTATCTCCGTGGAGAGCACCAATTTTGTTTGTAAAGAAGAAAGATAGCACTCTGTGATTGTGCATAGATTACATACAACTTAACAAAGTGACAATTTGTAATAAATATCCCTTGTACATATTGATGATCTTTTTGACCAGTTTCATGGTGCTATAGTATTTTCAAAAATTGATTTGCATCCTAGATATCATCAACTTAAAATTAGGGACAGTGATGTGTCGAAGACTGCTTTCAGGAAATGTATGGCCATTATGAGTTTCTTTTGATGCTATTTGAGTTGACCAACGCACCAGTATCATTTATGGATATGATGAATAGAGTGTTTCACCCGTGTTTAGACAGATTTGTGATTGTATTCATTGATGATATTTCAGTATACTCTTGAGATCATGATGAGCACACAGAGCATCTCATAATCATTTTGCAGACTTTACGCAATAAGCAATTATATGCTAAATTCTGTAAATGTGAATTCTAGCTTGATAGAGTTGTATGTTTGGGACATGTCATATTAGCAGATGGAATTTATATTGACCCGTAGAAAATTGAGGCAGTAATAAAATGGGAAAGGCTTACCTATATGATAGACATACGAAGTTTTCTTAGTTTAGCAAGTTATTACCATCGATTTGTAGAGGGAATTTTTAATATTGCTCTTCCTTTGACCAGTTTGACTAAAAAGAATGCTAAATTTGTTTGGAATGAAGATTGCGAAAGAAGTTTCCTTAAATTGAAGAATCGATTAGTATCAACTCCAATTCTTACTCTTCCATCTCCCGGTGAAGAGTTTGTGATATATAGTGATGCTTCACGTCGGGGTTTTGGTTGTGTTTTGATGCAGAATAGAAAGGTTATAGCATATGCTTCAAGATAGCTGAAGAAACATGAACTGAGTTATTGTACATATGACTTAGAGCTAGCTGCACTTATTCTAGCTTTGAAAATTTGGAGACATTACTTATATGGTAAGAGATGTCAGATTATATAAAACATAAAAGTTTAAAGTATATCTTTGTTCAGAAAGAGTTGAACCTGAGGCAAAGAAGATGGTTAAAGTTGATAAAAGATTACGACTGCAATCCAAGGAAGGCTAATATAGTTATTGATGCTCTCAGTAGAAAGACATCAAGTCCTCTTACCTAGACTAATGCAGTGTGTTCTTCCTTGTTTGGTGAATTCAGAGCTTCACATGTTTAATTGTTAGTTACCAGTGTAGCGGCATTGTTTGCCAACTTTCAAGTGAGGCTTACCTTAATTGACACAGTTAAAGAAGCTCAAACTCAAGATCCAGTGTTGAGCAAATTGAAAGAAGAAATTAGTAAAGGAAAACATATAAATTATACCATTCAAGATGATGGAGCTTTAGTTATGGGAAGCAGATTATGTATTCTAGACTATTCAAAATTGAAGAGAGAAATTCTAGAAGAGGCATATAGTTCAGCTTACGCAATGCATCCAAGTAGTACTAAAATGTATCGTATAGGCAAAGAACACTATTGGTGGCATGAAATGAAGAGATAAATATCTGAGTTTGTATCCAAATGTCTCATTTGCTAGCAAGTAAAACCAGATCGTCAGAAATCATCATGATTGTTACAAACGTTTCCTATTCCTGAGTGGAAATGAGAGTATATTACTATGGATTATCTTTTTTTAACTTCCACGGACTCAGAATGGACATGACGACATATGGATCTTTGTAGACAGATTGAGGAAAACTGCCAGATTTTTGCCTATTAAAGTCACTTACTCATTAGATAAATTGGCTAAAATATATATTGATGAGATAATCAGTTTGTATAGGGCACCAGTGTCTATTGTTTCAGATAGAGATTCTCGTTTCACTTCTAGATTTTGGCCCAATTTACAAAAAGCTATGGGTACTAAACTTCATTTCAATATTACTTTTCATCTATAGACAGATGGTCAGTTAGAAAGAACTATACGGACATTGAAAGACATGTTACGAGCTTGTGTACTACAATTTAAAGGGAATTGGGATACTCATCTTTCTTTGATGGAGTTTGCTTATAATAATAGTTACCATTCGAGCATAGAAATGGCTCCTTTTGAAGCAATGTATGGTAGGAAACGCAAAACTCCAGTATATAGGGATAAAGTGGGAGATAGAAAGTTATTAGGTCCTAAATATGTTCAAATTACTGCTAAGAAAGTAAGGATAATTAAAGAAAAGTTAAACGACAGCTCAAGATAGACAGAAAAACTATGCTGATAGATGTTGACAGAACCCAGAATTTGATGTTGGGGATAGAGTTTTCCCGTGATTATAGCATGGAAATGTGTTATCAGATTTGATAAACAGGGTAAATTAAGTCCGAGGTATATTGAGCTATATGAGATTGTTGAACGCATTGGGCTAGTTGCTTATCTATTGGTTTTGCCAACGGAATTGTCCAGAATTCACGATATATTTCATGTTTCCATGCTTCATAAGTATATCCCAGATCCATCTCATGTTTTGGAATTACAACCACTAGAGTTGAAAGAAAATCTTATCTATGAAGAGAAATCAGTTCAGATATTGAATAGAAAGGAATAGGTCTTGCGTAGTAAGACTATTCCTTTGGTTAAAGTCTTGTGGAAGAATAACCAAGTTAAAGTTAAAATACATTATAATAGTCAAACCTAAAATAAGAGTAAAAAATGTTATGCTATAAAAAAAGTCAGGTGGTTCAATGACTTTCTATTCATCCATTGCCAAAACAAATCCATTTCTCCACACACACATACAAAGCAAAAAAAGAGATAAACGAGACAGTGAGAAAGGAAAGATAAAAGAGGAAAGAAAAAGAAGAAAAAAGGGAGAAGAAAAAATAGAAAATTTTTGCCAACGTATTAGAAAATAAGTTCTTCTACTATTAGGCTTGAATTCTTCAAATTTAAGTAAAAACTTATTTATTGTAAAGTTATGTTTAATTTTATAATGGTTAGATTATTAGTTTAACTTCAATTCTATTGAAATGAAACAATTGAATTAAGTATAATAAGGTATGTAATTGAGTTAAATGAAAAAAAAAATTAGTTTAGGGGATTAAAGAAACTTTAGAAATCGCTTAAACGTGAAAGGATTAAGTTTCGGTATTGTCTATTTAATTATTGAAATTACTTAAGATAGTTAATTGTTAATTTAAAAATTAAAGCGGCGATACGAATATCGGGACAGCTTACCAACTAAGTTGATTTTGCATAATTATATTATTACATTACGTGCAATTATGTGTTTGATTATATGACTACTATGGGAATTTTTTTATTATGATACATGTGGAATTTTAAAGATTGTTTATGGTACATTAATAACTTGGTATGTGAGACATATGTGATATTGAGATCGGAAAGAAAAGTATCCATGATTATATATTTCTTCTAGTTCACTGAGAGGCTTTGCCCATGTTCTATACTATACTGAGGGGTCTTGACCGTGTACATATAGTTGAGATCGGCTTCCATTTACTGAGGGGGCTTGAGGCCTGTGTCTGGAGTGCTTAGATCAAGGGGAAGTTTGCGCGCGTATGACCAACTTACAGATTTCAGTCAGTGGGTATATTTTTGGTGGATTTTTTAGTACGTTTGATTTGATGAGATTATAGTATGGTTATCAGTTGATGTTTATATTATGATCTTGAGATGATAATTTACGACCTTATGTGGATGTTTCATTTTTTGGCTATAATGATATGATGTTATCTTGTGAATAATTAAATTATATGAATTTGATTTTTGATAAAAATGTATAAATGAAAAGGTATAATTATTTTCGAACTTCTCCACTCGTTGAGATATCAACTCATATATTTTTTCGCGTTTTTTTTATCAGACATCAATTGAGTATTTGGGCACCTTTTGGGATTGAGCCTTTGATTTTGGAGTCAGAGCCACATGACAGAGTTTACTAGTATGACTCACTTCATAGAGCATGTAGTCATTGTTTTGGGTCACATGTTCATGTTCTTATGTGATTTTACATTACTTGTAGATAGTTATGGGGCTCACTTTACGTTTGTATCCATGTGTACATTTCATATAATTATCTTGGTAAAAACTGAGATTTCGACTTATCTTTATTGTGTTGTGTTATATTATGATATTTGTACATTGTAAATTACAAGTTCGTTAGTCCTATTTATAGAAGAGATAATGCCGACATTTTGTTAAGAAATATATCATAAAAAGTTGCATACTGTAGTTGTAGTAGCCATGGTGGGGGTTCCGACCCTTAGTTGGTATTTATTATCGGTGTATGCCACGTTTCGGGTCCAGTAGTGCTACACGGGGCTGGGCATGTCAAATGTTTTGCGAATGGGTAAACCTTTTTTTACCCTTTTAGTTATTTGCTCAACGGAGACTTTTTTCTTATCCTCTATAACTAATATTTGTAGGTTTTTGTTATTGATGAATCCATCCTTCTTGGAGAAGTTTGAGAATTTCAATTCAGACTCATCAATCGGGTTTTACTGCTCATTGATTAAAGTTATGTCTACAAGGAAATTTGAATTTGGATGTGCCAAAAGAAATAAAAAAAAAGGAAGGAAATGTTTGAAAAGTTGATTAAGTCTCAAGAGGGAGCAATTGATAAATTTTTTTATAGTTAAATGAACACATAACGAAGACAGTTATTGGATAAGAGTTTAATGAGAATGATAATATAAATAATACAATTGAAGAAAAACATTGTTGATGAATGAAGATGTATTTACTGACAGAGATAATGAATAATTTTTCCTTAACCTTATTGATCCAATAAATTGGGAATATATATATGTATATATATATAAGCGACTTAATTGTAATGAAAGGTCTTGTAAGAGAAAATAATATGATTTTTTCGAAAGATATAGCAAATCAACACTTCTCATCTACATATTACGTTCGACGATTACCTAATGGAAAGAAGCATGATTAAAAATGGTTGGTATATTCAAAAAAAGTTCGAATAAAGGATTTTGCTTTTGTTGTAGATTATTTAAGAATGATGGAATCAAAACTCAACCAGCACATGATGGAGTAAAATGATTGGAAAAACATTGGTAAAAAACTTAAAATGCATGAAGTAAGTTGTGACCACATCAATAACATGAATAAATGGATAAAAATGAAATTAAGATTTGAAAAAAAAGTAAAACAATTGATAAAAGTGTGCAAGAACAAATCCGTAGAGATAGAGAATATTGGAGACAAGTATTATTGAGAATAATATCTGTGGTAAAAACTCTAGCATAAAATAATTTAGCATTTCATGAGGATAATGAGAAGATATACCTAGAAAATAATGGTATCTTCTTAAGCATAATTCAAATAATTGTTGAGTTTGATCCTGTAATGCAAGAGCATGTTTGTTGAATAATAAATAAAGATGTTCATTATTATTATCTAAGACACAATATCAAAAATGAATCGATACTTATGCTAGCAGGTGCGATAAAAAATATAATCATTAAGAAACTCAAAGATTCTAAATACTTTTATGTTATACTTGATTGCATCCTGGATACGAGTCATGAAAAACAAATGTCTATAATATTGAGGTGTGTAGATTTTTAAGTAAGTCCAGTGAAGATTGAAAAATTCTTTTTTGGTTTTTTATTGGTGGATGATACATGTGATAAGGGACTTTTTGGTGAACTTATGGATATTTTGCATAATTTAGAATTTGATATTGATAATGTAAGAGGTCAAGTCTATGATAATGGTGCTAACTTAAAAGGAAAACATAAAGAAGTTCAAAATAGACTACTACAACTAAATCTTAGAGCATTATACAGTCCTTGTGGGTGCCATAATCTTTATCTTGCACTTTGTGATATGACCACTTGTTGTTCAAAAGCTAAATATTTCTTTGGGGTGGTGTTACGTATATATACTTTATTTTCATCATCTACTAAACGGTGGAATTTTTTTAAAGAGAATGTACATGGTCTTAGCCTTAAGCCCTTGTCACAAATTCATTGGGAAAGCTATATTGAAAGCGTTAGAGTGATAAGAATTCAAGTTCCGTAGATAAAAAAAAAAAGCTTTACTTCAATTGGCAAATGTTGATGATCCAAAGACAAGTAGGGTGGAGTTTTTGGCAATATATGAAATTGAGAATTTTGAATTCTTACTTGGTATCGTTTGGTACGCAATGTTGAATAATTTTAACAGAGTAAGCAAACATTTTGCAAGCAAAAGACATGTATATTGATATTGCTATAGACCATTTAAAGGGCTTATTTCATTTTTCAAAAGTTATAGATAATCTGGATTTTGAATCGACCGTGGTTGATGCTAAAGAGATTGCAAGTAAATTAGAAATTGAACCGATGTTTTGTGAAAAACGAATTATAGACAAAAAAAAAATTTGATGAGATTTCTTCTGAAGAGATAGCACAAATAGTTGAAGAATCTTTTAAAATCAATTATTTCATATATATAGTGGATCAAGCTCTATCATCACTTCAAAATAGATTTGAGTAGTTTAAAAAATATGATAATATTTTTGGATTTTTATTTGATTTGAAAAGACTTAAATATATTGATGATAGTTTGAAGTGTTCTTGCATTAACCTTAAAAATTACTTAAAGCATAATATGATTTATGGTATTGATGGAATATAATCGTTTTATGAGTTGAAAGTTCTAAGGGAACTAATATCTGCAAAATTTAGAAGAGCAATTGATGTGTTGGATTACATTAAAAGAATGAATTGTTGGTCTGCAAATACTTGGATTATTTATAGAGTATTATTGACTATTCCTGTCACAGGAGCCTCAGCTGGAAGAATATTTTCAAAGTTGAAGTTGATTAAGTTTTATCTTTGATCAACAATGTCACGAGAGTGATTAAATGGATTAGCTATGTTTTCTATTGAAAGAAATAAGCTGGAAAAACTTGATTTTAGTAGTTTGATTACTGATTTTACATCTCAAAATGTGAAAATGTTAAATCTTATGCTAGCTTAATTTCTCGGGTTGTGAGATGAGTTTTATTTTGCTACTCTATCTTTTGAATTGTTTAAAGTCTTCTTTTTAATATAAAAGTGTTAAGTATTTAAATATTATTACACTTGTAAAATAAAATATTATTTTAAAAGGCCTAATAAAAATTAATCACCTAGGGCCTCTAAATTCTCAAGGTTGGCTTGTTCACATGACCCAAAATGCTCCTATCTCGAATGCGACATATTAATATGCATTAAGCTCATGTTTGATGGCCATTATTTAAGAAACATAAAGTTTTGAATGGTAAGTTTTTAGAGAATGTGTGTTTGAAAAGTAGGGAAAAGTTTTGAAATTTTAGAGAATGTGTGGTTAATATAGTGAATATGCATTAGGCCCGTATTTGGTGAACATATGAATATGCATTAAGCCTCTTGAGTGATTCTTGAATTATCTTGTTTGATCTTCTTCAAATCCAAGTAATTAAAGTACGAAATATGTGGAATTAATGTTCCGTATAAAAGTTTCTCCAAATCTCTAAAAAGAATCTCTCCTTTTGAATATGCATTTTTATGTGCAGGGATCCCCTAAGCTTCCTCTTTATAATTATAGATATAAGTCAAGAATTAGATTTAAAAAATAAAAAAAAGTTGTGCCTAATTGCCTTTCTAGAAGAGATTGAACAAAATAAGGAAACCAAATCTTTTCTACTATAATGGCATCCCAAGAAATTAAGTTGCAGGTGCTAACAGTCTTGAACTTGCAATTGCAAAGTGATGCTCTTTTCAATCATCACGAGTATGATTTTTCCGTGTTGCACTTTGGTCCCTAGATTCCTTCTTTTATTCAACTCGAGTCCCTTCCTAATTTTATTTTTAGTCCTTCATCTTTAAATTCTCATAATTTAATCCTTATAATCCGAAATTGATTTGATGCAAGTTTCGTGAGTTTGTGATTGGATTACCTATAATTGACACTTTCTTTACGATGATTCCTCCACTTTTTACATCACGAAATTATACTCTACGATAGGTGTGATCTCCTCCCCCAACTATGCTTACAGTTCACCTAGTCATTGCTTCCACCATTTATTTCGTTCATTGATTCGTGGAGGGTAAGAATAAGCTCTCTTGATGGCCAGTTCATGCCATATTCTATTAATTGGTTTGTTTTGTTGATGTTATGTCCTCAAGAATTTTGGTTTGTTGGAAAAAGGGACATGGATTGTCCATATGGGATGACCCGACCTACAATATATTAGAGTGAGTTGGAGAGAATGGTCTAAATTAACCCTTAACATTCCTCAACTCTCCAATAACTTACACAACTTGTCTTGGATAGGAAGATAAAAAAGAAATAGTATAAAACGGATATTTTCCTTCAATTGTGATCGAGATTTGGACTATATGAGTATAACACTAATGCAGATTTTGGAGTTTGAAAAAGTAATGTAATTCAACTACGTAGATTTTCAAGTAAGAATTCTTAAAACAAATTTATGTTTAAACACGTGGTAAATTCTTTCATTGTAATCAAAACCTATAAGATTGTTCTCCTTGCATTTTATCCTGCCGGAAATTATTGATTCTTCAGGTGAAAAATGCTAGTATGTAATTTTTGTTGAAGTTTTAAGCATCTTTAGTGACATGTCATAAAATATACAATAGTAAATAAGAAATTCGTACAATATGTTTTTTTCATGATATATATCATATCTTCAAAAATTCATTAATTTTCATTTTTGCATCTGTGAAAAAATCGAACCCCTAGTTAATTTTGCAAAAAATTTAAAAAATTTACTGTCTTCTGTTTATTGATCTTTGTGTGGTAAGATTGATGGTTGGAAAGGTCTTCCCATGACTTTTCAACCATGTAAAGAACTCTAAACTCAAACTTAAAACAAAAAAATGTATGATGATTTGAAATTTAGGTCGAATTTGGTGAATTTCGAAAAAAACAAATTGAAAAAATGAAGAATGTAATTTTTCTCCATTCTCTAAAATTTTTGAATTTCAATCACACCATTGAACTTAGAATATCGAAAGTAGGAGGACTAAAGAAAGAAATTGGTGGAAATATGTCTTCACGACAGCGAGTGTAGCTCATACTCCGTGTGTGTGAGTGGGGGCACCACACTTTTTAAAAAAAAAATGTTTTTTGCAATATTATTATCGCCGTGTGATGGTCCATGGTGGGTTTGAATGTAATTTTGAAAGTTACATTTTGGTCTCTATAATTTTTTATATTTCTAGGATCTTGTTGATTTGAGGCCTAAATAACATAGTTCATTTGCTCACAACTTCTCCTTTAGTAGCCATCAAAGTCACGAGATCAAAACATAACTTTTCTAGTAGAGAAATGATTGGTTTGTCCCTTGCGTGTATAATTGTAGTGTTGAATGATTAACTTGTATTGTTAAGTTGGATGTCAAACTTTGTGTTGTGCTTAAATTGTGACTTGACCTAGTGAGTCTGTCCATCAATCACTCATATGCTTCAACGTCTTCCAGTTCCATGCTCTCCATTTCTTTATTCCAATTTACCTTATTAGTTTCTTGTTTCAACTGCTCACTATGTTCCTCAAACCTAAACCATTAAGCCTTACTTTTGATAACCGCTGCATATTTTACCCACTCGATATTTGGTTGTCGAGAATAACTCAGTTCTCAATAACCAAAATAAATCTTAGAAACCAATTGTTGAATGATGATGGATCTTGACATCCAAATATCAAGTGGTGGTGGTGAAGAAGAAGGTTAAAAAGACGAAGTAGGGGGGGTTAGGGTTATGGCTTCAATATAGAATATGCTTTTGATCAAATTCAAATAGATATATGATTTTGACAGCATAAGAAAGAAAGGTGTATGAGTTTCAAAAGATTATGAAAAGGGAGGCAAGATATTCAATGGTCTATATTTGATCAAGTACAAAGAAGATGAAGAAGAAGAAAATTCATCGATTGGAAGTAGCATACCTCTCACTTGATGTGGGTGGTGGTGATGATAGCGAAGAAGAGGAAATAGGTAGGGTGAGAATATTTTACATTAGAAAGATAGTTTACTTCACCATTTTTTTTTTCAAATGCTACTAGATTCTTTTCCAATGCATCTTTAGAAATGGAAATTTAGACCAAATTCCTCTTGAATGAATAGCTCTTGACTTCCATAGTTTTTGATACAATCTTGACAAGCATTTCAAGGTATTTATAGAATTTAAAAATTCTAGACCGTATGCTAAAACTCTTCAATCCCATAAATATTTTTAAAACTCAATGTTAAATAAACCTCTTTGATAACAAGTCAGTTAAGAAAATTTTTAAAAAGTACTTTTTACGTATCATTTTGCCATGTTTGACAACTACTGATTGTGGAAAACTAATTTTAGAACAATATTGTTTAGGAAAATGTGATTAAAAAATAGAAAAAAATTTAAAATTTACGTGAAGAATATTTTATTGTATTTTATTGTATAAATGTGTGATTAAAAATGAATATATAAAAAATGGAATTTGCAAATAATGGCTTTCAAATTGGGTCGCCACTTCTAGTTGGATCTCTTTCAATAAATTTCATACATATTGGGTCAATTATTTAATTTTCGATTCTAGAGGGGCAAACGGCAAGAAAACCCTTCAATGAAAGGCGTCGGGTGACCCACGCTGAGCCAATCGACTCGCATATATAAACGCACCCGACTCCGCGTCAAATCCCTACGCTCTCGACTCTTTGCACTGTGATCTTTTTATCTGAAAGATTGATAATTCATCGTTCATCAGTTGCGAAAACCCTAGTTTGATAATTTCAATTCACCGAAACCCTTTAAAAAAAGATCTTTTACAATGATTCCATTCTCATCTGCTGTTTCCAGTCAGATTCGATTTCTACTTCAGAGCTTGAACGACTCCAACACAGATTCAGTTTTTTTAGAGCTCTGTCAGGTAAGCAAATGGATATGCACGGGCCGACATCTCTCTTTGCGTATCTATTTATATGTTTTTTCTAGCGTGTTTGTATGGGTAATTTGATTTTTGAACGGGTTGATTTTTATTTTATTTTTTTTCAATTGAGAGATGACTGGAAAACCACCCTCATATTTTGTTTCTGAAGATTTTGTCTGCTGTTACCTAGATTTTGCCTGATTTCTCGTTTTTTAACTTATATCTGTCTAACTGTAATTTTATCAGTGTTTATTGGGAGGATATACTTGATATCTGATGGAAACTCTTTTAAAAATGCTAGAAAGACTGGAATTTAATTGTATTTCTGCTATTTGAGTAGTTTTCAGAGAGAAGAGAAAATATTTTTGGGAGGATATACTTGATATTGGATGAAAACCTTTTTTTTTTAAAAATGCTAGAAAGACTGGACCTTGATTGTATTTGGGAGATTTGAATAGTTTTTAGAGGAAAGAAAATAATTGTTAACTGCCCAAATTATGGATCTGGATCTAAGGTATGCGAATAAAATAAATATAGAAATTACCGTCTTTAGAATTTAATATAATAGATAAGCTATCCGTCGTGTTGGAAAATTGGAAGGAGGACAGCTAATGACAACGAGAGCCCTATACGTCGGAACTTGTGTTTCCTGTTTCCTTTGTATTGGGAGGAGAAGCCATATTGCTCATTTTCCTGAAAGTATCTGTTGATGACATCATTGTTTCTGCATTTATTCTTCTCTTGGTTTTGGATGTTATGCTGTTATTATCTGTAGGCGTGAATTGGAGTGCCGACAAGTGGAATTGAAAATTTTAAGGGAGTGTCATTTGAACTGTCAAAGTGGCAGTTATTAGCTTATTTATATTTAAAACTGGGTATTTTAGGAAAGTCAACCATGTTTAATACAAATCTAGTGAATTTTTAGGAAAATCCTTAAACTGCTTTCT